TATCATTGTTTTAGTTCAAATTACTTAAAATTACTAATTATTAATTATTTAAATCACCAATTACTCAAATTATTAATTACTTAAAATTGCTAATTCAATATATTCTGTGGTTTAATTAAATTTATTTCTGGCTCTTTGCTGTCCGAAATTCTTCCAATATATGACCAAGAGTACCGATGCTTTTCGAATAAAAAATGTTTAATTAATTGTTATCATACAAAAATGCATAATATCCAATAAACATCCTGAAAATATTAAATATGGAGTCTTATTTTTTTTGAGTTTTAATGTGTTGAGGTTTACATAAAAATGTGAAAGTTTTTATTTTAGATATAATCAATTTACTTAAATCCAATTCAAGTCCGAGTGAACCCAAGGTGGGTCCACTTGAACTTAACTGGGTTCAGATTGTGTTGATTTGAATCTAACACAGATTCAAGTAAACCCAATTAAGTCTACTTGAACCCAACATGGGTTCAAATAAACCAAAATCAGTTCTAATTTAGGTTTAAGTAAACCAAATTTTGGTTTACTTTAATCCAACCAGGTTTAAATTGAGTTTTTTTAACAAAACTTAAAAACTAATAAAAATTGAGGCTGTGCACCCGAGGCAACGCCCGGGCCTGAAAGCTAGTAGTCAAATATACAAGCCGAATCAAGCTAAAACGAATACATGTGATATTGATTTAATAATAATGACGTAAAATTATACGATTTAGTGCGATTTTGTTTAATCACACTAAATCAAATGATTGCCGTGTCCCTGGTACATTGTCTGCATTTAGGTTTTCAAAAACGAATTTTTTGACATCGTCTTTGCTTCATATTCAGTCGATTTATGATTTTTTTCAATATACTATTTAAAATTTTTTCATACCTGGAGTTGCTCGAGAATATTCACAGTAATTAATATTGCAATTTTTTTTTTTGCAAACTTTTAAAAGAATTTATTTTTGCCCTTTTTTCAGTTACGGCCATACACAGTGAAAAGCTCCGGAACCCGTCCGATCTCCGAAGATAAGCCACTGATGGCCCAGTCAGTACTATGGTTGGGGACAACATGGGAATACTGGGTGCTGTAACTTTTTATTTACTTTAACTGTACATTGCACGTGAAAATTATATGTAGCAAGGGGCGAAATTTTTAAATAACAGGAGCAATTACATGAATTTGTGCCACTGTTCTAGTTTTTTACTTTGCTTGTCTACGTCTATTTTGTTTTTGTATTAATAAGTTTGCCATCGTATTTTTTATATTATAATCAGCGAAATTTTTATTAAAAATTTGGTGAGGTTGTCACACGGGAAATAAACCATTTATGATACTTTATATGCTTCGCACTTTAAATGCTCTACACAGAACACAAGAATCCTTACAAATACAAGCCAAAGGATCCCATGCACCGTGATTTTGAGGTTTTCACTATTTTACAAGTCTGACACCCAAATTTTTGTATCTATTTTGAGATACTGGACAATTGTTTTCTGCGTCGAATTTTTTGCCAGTCTGATAAAATGATAATCAGTGATTGTCAAAGACAGTCGTAATTAAGGCAGTAATGAAGGATTTAATGTTAATACGTAACTTTTAATTCAGAAGTCGTCATGATAAAATAAACTTGTGCCGTACATAATATTGTAAATCCTGAATGATCCGGTTATCATGATTTTCACATTCACATGATCAGTATTCGAATTTTAATCATAATTAATCCTTAGCGTTAGTTATAATTACATGCACTTCATGTTGCCATTTTAGCTCTTATTTTGGATATTTTAAATTATGATTGATGTTATCGTTATTTTTCCATAAATTTGGTGGCAATTATTTTACACAGGAATTAAATCGATTTGTAAGACATTTCATCTCCTTTTTTCGGAAGGTGTAAGTATGAGCCTAAGGCCCAATCGCATGATGGGTAAAAAAATATCATGCAAACATCATATCATGACTATTAATTATTTTGATTATTTTGATGTTTTACAAAATTTCGCCTTTTCTGTATCGAATTTTTTACCGGCTCTAATGAAATGATTGATCCTCAATTTTGATTGGCCAACAGCTGTATCGACAAAATTCTGGCCTGCATTATCCCTTACTCTGTTTTGCAGGCAAATTTGCCTGCAATTTGCATTTTCTCGATAAATTATTAACCTAATGGTACATGGCATCATAAGAAGACTAAATAGTTTGTTCGATAATCTTCGAAAAATGTTATCCTTTTTAGCACATGGCCTCTCTATCCCTTTATTTCTTCGCTCACTTTTTTGGGGCCCTTTGAAAATCATGATCTTGTACTACCTCAGAAAGTCCAATGTGTCTAAATATTAATAATCATCAGCAGGACTTAACAGATATCAGATATATATGTTAAAAAAAATTAATACCGTATTACCTCGAAATAACATCCCAGGGTGTAGGTTAAATTTCTGGCCAGAATTAAGCTTAATCCAGCCTAAATTAAGCTTAATCCAGCCTAAATTAAGCTTAATTCGGGCCAAAATTTTAACCTACACCCCGGGGCATTATTTCGAGGTAATACAGTAAGTTAATAAATTATATTTTGGCGTTAGCGATAAATAAAGAATTAATAAACTATGATTATATTTAATATTAGCAGTAAATTAAGAATTAATAAATTACAATTATATTTGGTGTTAGTGATAAATAAATTAAAAATTAATGTATTTTGGCATTATCAATAAAAAGATTATGTTAACAATAAATAAATTAAGAATTAATAAATTACGATTAATTAAGAATTAGCATTAGCGATAAATAATATTTATTATTAACACATATTAATGAGGTCTATTATTAGTATTAATAAAATAACAACGTTTTTTAAAAAGTTTTTGTATGCTGAATCCCAATACTACATACTGGCATGAACAAGAATTTAGTAGTAGTGACTCAGATAATATGTCGTTGTCTGGTTATATGGACATTACACCTGATCCCATGATGTGATTGGCCAACTGCAGCGAAATAGATTCGCTAAAAATTTGATCTCGGAACTGTATTGTTTTTGTGCAATAAATTCGGTAAATAATATTGAATAAACATTCCGATATTTTAGTCATTGAATACATAATAATTAACCTCAGCTAATAACAACTATATGTTTTCACATTACAAATTGTAAATTACTTATTAAATTAATAATTGACACAATAATTAAGAATGGCGTATACAGTATACAAATTTATATTGGAAATATATGAGTGTCGCCAAAAGAAAACCCGAAAATTTAAATATTACTTGTATTTAAATTTTCGGGTTTTCTTTTGGCGACACTCATATAATTTCTTTATGTTATGACGTCAAAAAATATACAAGTCTTAAAAATTTTAAAAGAATATTGTAAAGATATCTCAAATGCCAGGTTCTTCCAACACTGATGAAGACAGTCAAATTATATTTTAAGTCGAAAATTAGCTAAATAAGTTGCATGTGCTAAACATTGCATTATGAATATCGGGGCTGGTATTTCTTGTAGTAGCTGAATACCTGTAAGTAATCTTTGAATCGAAATTAAATTTTTCTCAGAACCTTTAATGTATTCCTTGTTAGTTATGAAAGTTGGTATCAATTTTAAACTATATTTTTTTATAAATATTATCAATAGAACTTTAATAGTTCATAATGTCTATAATATAATAAAACTAATATCTAGATAACTTTCGTTCGAATAAAGATTTATTTGATATTAACTTAAAATCCACATATAAAAGTCCTTTATCTTTTCAAGGGCGTTAAATACTATAAGCCATAGCCACTACACTATTTTTTAATAAAATCTTGGCAGATATGAGAAAAGTAGAGTATTTAACATACATAAACAAAATAAAGTTTGATTTCATGGAATGAGTATTACCAGATATACCTATTTATTTACGAATATGCTAATCATGGAGCACCTCACTATACAATTTCATTAAATACTATTGATTTATTAATTAACATCGCGATTAATAATAAACTCATCATTATTTTCTTGCAGAGGTTGGTTATCGTTTTTGAATTAACAATAATTAATGGCCCCCTGTGACACTTTTTTGCATGTTTTTTAAATTCAGAATTAAGTTTTTCTATGCTTGCAAAAGAAACCTCAAGTTGGTGAATAAGTTGGGGATACTCTTTTATTAACTCTGGTGTTGTATGTAGGTATTTAAAAACATTGCGTTTATCAATTTTACTCATTACTTGCTTAATTGTTACACGAAATCCTGTTAATTTATTCTCGATATCCCCAATGACCCTTATGCACATTTGTATCAATGCAAACTCTATAGTCCAAGTTATCACCTATATCGCTATTAGTATATTTATATGACCATTTGTCGCCAATAATTCCGCTAAATGTATCCCTCATGGCCCATTCTTTTGTTGTAGCCGATGAATTTCGACCTTTCTTTTTGCCAATGGCAAGTGTTGCTTTGGTACTTTGCGGTGCACCTACAGCCATTTGAAAACGATAGTCGTTTTCATGAACTTTTGTAGATGTTATATCATTATTAGCTTTATGTGGGCTATGTTTTTTCTTTTGAATAATTATACATGTTTTATCGGACTTTGGCGGAATCGGAGAGGCACAGATTTCTAATGAGTCGATATAGTAACAAATAAATTTATTTAGAGACTGACATTGTTTGCTGAGTAAATCTGTCACTGAGCAATTATTTAAGTCGATCTCAAATTTTAAAGTTGAACTGGCATTATTTTTAGAACTAAGTTTGACATTTACCCAGAGTTTAATAGTAATGTTGAAATATTGAAACATTTTTTTATCTTCAGTTCCAATTATTTTTTTATCCTCAAATTCGACTCCACCATCTGAAGAAATTATAATTTTACCATCGTCATCATCGTCACCACCACCATCACTATTATCACCATCGTCATCATTATCATTATCGTCTTCACCGCTATCAGCATCATGATATTCGCTATCATTATCATCACTGTTTTCATCATTTCCTTCACGCTCGACCATATCACATATTCTACACATGTTATTACCATTAATAATGAGTCAAAGAGTAATAACGTAGATGG